AGTATGCATAGTAATAACTAGTATGTATAGTAATCACATAGTATGCATAGTAATCACATAATATGCATAATAATCACATAGTATGCATAGTAATCAATATTATGCATAGTAATCACATGGTATGCATAATAATCACATAGTATGCATAGTAATCACATAGTATGCATAGTAATAACATAGTATGTATAGTAATCACATAGTATGCATAGTAATCACATAATATGCATAATAATCACATAATATGCATAGTAATCACATGGTATGCATAGTAATCACATATTATGCACAGTAATCACATATTATGCATAGTAATCAATATTATGCATAGTAATCACATGGTATGCATAATAATAACACAGTATGCATAGTAATCACATAGTATGCATAGTAATCACATGGTATGCATAATAATAACACAGTATGCATAATAATCACATAGTATGCATAGTAATCAATATTATGCATAGTAATCACATGGTATGCATAGTAGTCACAATATATGCATAATAATCACATAGTATGCATATTAATCACATAGTATGCATAGTAATCACATAATATGCATAATAATCACATAATATGCATAGTAATCACATGGTATGCATAGTAATAACATGGTATGCATAGTAATAACATAGTATGCATAGTAATAACATAGTATGCATAGTAATCACATAATATGCATAGTAATCACATGGTATGCATAATAATAACACAGTATGCATAATAATCACATAGTATGCATAGTAATCAATATTATGCATAGTAATCACATGGTATGCATAGTAGTCACAATATATGCATAATAATCACATAGTATGCATATTAATCACATAGTATGCATAGTAATCACATGGTATGCATAGTAATAACATGGTATGCATAGTAATAACATAGTATGCATAGTAATAACATAGTATGCATAGTAATCACATAGTATGCATAGTAATCACATGGTATGCATAATAATAACACAGTATGCATAATAATCACATAGTATGCATAGTAATCAATATTATGCATAGTAATCACATGGTATGCATAGTAGTCACAATATATGCATAATAATCACATAGTATGCATATTAATCACATAGTATGCATAGTAATCACATAATATGCATAATAATCACATAATATGCATAGTAATCACATGGTATGCATAGTAATAACATGGTATGCATAGTAATAACATAGTATGTATAGTAATTACATAGTATGTATAGTAATCACATAATATGCATAATAATCACATAATATGCATAGTAATCACATGGTATGCATAGTAATAACATGGTATGCATAGTAATAACATAGTATGCATAGTAATAACATAGTATGCATAGTAATCACATAATATGCATAGTAGTCACAATATATGCATAATAATCACATAGTATGTATAGTAATCACATAATATGCATAGTAATCACATGGTATGCATAGTAATCACATAGTATGCGTAGTAATCACATAGTATGCATAGTAATTACCCCGCCATGTATTCAGTGTCGAAATATGTCTGTGATCTTCAGATATAATATGAAAGAGAACATGTAATTTTAAGTATTGTAGGTTGATACTGTATATTACATTAGTATATGATTATCATGAACTGAAACCATTGCCTTTGCGGCACACACTGAATACTCGTTCGATAAAACAATGGCATTCTCTAATAGCATGTGCACTGGTGGTTGTTACGATATAATGCTGTTGTGTGTCCTGTAATCGACTCATTTTTAGTTTATTAGCTTATGATTAATCATAATCCGATTTGGTATAGATTATGAATTGTCAAACAACAATATTAAAAAAGTAATGTTATCGCTCATCTGTATCTTTAATCTTGATGTATCTTTATTATCAAGATGTATCTTGATGTTCTTTCTTATGCAATTTAATTTTAATGATGAAATGGAAAACGCAGTCATTCAGTTTGTAGAATACATCCTGGATTATTACATTGGTGGCGCTGTTTAATGACACGTCTCACTCGAACCTCACTCTAATGTGTTGCGTAGGCGTTGTGCACAGTGACGTATTACATAATTCCTGTGCATTTCTCCCACGCATAGCGTTGAAGTGAAATGTCATCATCATGGAGCACAATGGACACCATCCGAGTACTGCTGGTTGGCAGATCACATTCAACGAAATCTACATTCATAAATCAACTGACAGGCAGATTCCAATGAATGAGTGCTACTATCATAACAACACTGATTAGCAAATCCCATCAAAAGAGTTATACTATAATAAAACAAAGGGTATTCATATCTATATATTCTTTTCTATAGATGCAATAAAAATACTTTAATGATGAGTACTACAATCACAATACCACTGACAGGCAGATCCAATTCAATGAGTGCTACAATCACAATACCACTGGTAGGCAGATCCAATTCAATGAGTGCTAGAATCACAATACCACTGACAGGCAGATTCAATTCAATTAGTGCTACAATCACAATACCACTGGTAGGCAGATCCAATTCCATGAGTACTACAATCACAATAACACTGGTAGGCAGATCCAATTCAATGAGTACTACAATCACAATACCACTGACAGGCAGACCCAATTCAATGAGTGCTACAATCACAATACCACTGGCAGGCAGATCCAATTCAATGAGTGCTACAATCACACTACCACTGACAGGTAGATCTAATTCAATGAGTACTACAATCACAATACCACTGACAGGCAGATCCCATTTAATGAGTGCTACAATCAAAATACCACTGACAGGCAGATCTCATTCAATGAGTACTACAATCACAATACCACTGACAGGCAGATCCCATTCAATGAGTGCTACAATCACAATACTACTGACAGGCAGATTCAATTCAATGAGTGCTACAATCACAATACCAATCATAGGCAGATCCCATTTAATGAGTGCTACAATCACAATACCACTGATAGGCAGATCCCATTTAATGAGTGCTACAATCATAATACTACTGGTAGGCATATTCCATTCAATGAGTGCTACAATCACAATACCAATCATAGGCAGATCCCATTTAATGAGTGCTACAATCATA